AGAATATTTAGCACTTAAAAAAGCAATTTATCGACCACAAGCATTTTTTAAGGGATTGATCTTCCCTCTTTGCCAAGAGAAAGATGTCACTCTTAAGGAAGCCACAATCATTGCATCTATTTTACACAAAGTTTCTATTCCTTCAAAACATAGTGCAGTTGCACTTTATAAATTGTCAACAATGGAATATAACTCTACTCAAGCTCTATTTTTGAAAACACTATTAGATAAAAAATACTCTCTTCCATATGCTGCTCTTGATGCTGTTGCTAATTATTATATTGGGTTTATTGATAAAAAAGTTGATACACCATTATTATGGCATCAAGGGTTGTTAGTTTTTGTTCAAAGATATTCTAAAGACTTTAAACCACAACAAGTCCAACAATTATTACGATTATGTCAAGTTCATAGGCACCATGCAATTACCCCATTAGTTATTGTCCAGTTACAGAAACAAAAGGATTGATTTGAATTTACACTTTTTTGATTGATTCATAGTTGAAAATGGTTATTTGTTATAAAAAACAATACTTTGGTACGAAAGAGAGTATCTCATCTTCTTTTTTGATTTTTCTTCTTTTGAAAAACAAAGCACTTTACTTCTAATTAATAATGGTTTAACACAAAACTATCTTCTTGAAGATTTTAATTAAAACTCCATCCCTTTTATCAATACAATCTAGAGAATAAAATTTGTATTTTATAATTAGGTTAGAACAAAGAGGTTTTAAGTTAAATTTTATTTATAAAATATATTTTCAATTGATTTTCTTGTAATATTATTTGTCATAAAAGATACTTTGTTTTAAGACACTGACTTGTTAATGATACTTCACCATGATGGTGGTAATCTTATTTATTTAAAGAAATTTAAATTAAAAACTCAATTACTTAAATCATAATTGTTAAGTGTAAATGAAATTGTCTTGTGTCTCAAGAATCACGTCATGAGTGTATTGCTGTTTCTTAGAACTTTAACGTGTCAGAGTTGATTTGTTTTATATCGAATAATAGTAGAGTAGGGAGTGGATATTGTTTTGTGAATGAGAGGTAAATAAACAGTTTTAAAGAAGATAACTAACGTAAGTAATGGATATCCGAATTAAACAGTTACAACAAAATATAATAAAAAATTAGAAGGGAGTAGCTTTCTATAAAACATATCAGAACAATAAAGAAATTAAACTGTTTGTATTAAAAATAAGAGAATAAAATCAAAATGATTCTTCAATTAAAATCCAATCAACATGATGATTGATAATAATCCAATGATGACAATTGGATTACTTCCATCTGTTGATATTTCTTCACTTTGACTTTTTTCATCAGACTCACTATACACTTCATTATTAGGTGTTGGAACACCTTCAGCTTCAAGAGTCATAGCATTAATTTTGAATGTAATTGGTTCATCTGTTGTTTCTATTCTTTGTATGGAGAATGTTTGTAATGTATTTTTTTCATCTTCATAACTTAATGGAACATAAACTTTAGTAGCAATTCCAGACTTAACTATATAGTCATATGGTTTCAATTCAGTTTCTGTTTGTTGGTTGTAGGCAGATGAGAATAAACGTGTTCTAAATCTCATTGTTTTAACTTGATCTGATTTGAAATATATTTCATATGAAAAGAAATTTGAAGCAGAAGTGTCAATACTTGTTGTTCTTTGTACATAAACAGTATCCCAGCAACGAAGTTTTGCACTTAAGTAGTTTGTTGTTGAATTTTTACTTAATTCAATATTTCTATTGATCAACTTCTTTTTATTCTTCCTTCAATTCTATTGAAGTTCAGATAATAATTAATAATAAAACAAACAATCCAGCTGTATTAAATATTGCCCATGAGTCAAAGAAGCTTTTTCCATCAAATATAAGATATGCATTACTAAGAGTAAATAAACACAATACAAATAACATTCAATGTTTTTCTTTTTTCGTTCGTTCCATTTAAATGATTCACATATCATCATCTCAAAACTAATATCTCTTCGTTTTGTTATTTTAATGTTATTTTCTGATTATTTTAATGATTATTCTATTGAATAAGTGAAATAATAACATTTAGATATTAGTATTATTCACTTTCTATTGAAATAATTTGATTAGTTTTACATTCAAATATCATAGCTTTATTTCTGAAAAGTATTATTGTATCTATTCTTATGTTGAGTCATATATTTCTCAAAACTACATTTATATTAAATCTACATTGAATGGCAATGAAATATCTTTGTTTTGTATTTGAACAGTTATAGAATAAGAAGTTATTTATAAATAAAACATCAAATTCTACTAATAGTATTATTATTTATACTCGTTGACAGAGGGAAGTTATTAATATAAAGCAAATAAAAAAACGTTACATTAGATAAAATAAAAGAATATTTCGTTATGAGACGTTTTTTAGAAGTGTTATAGGAAAATGTTGAATCATTAAATAATACGATGTAATACACAATCTTATTATGAATGAATTGTAGATACTTCATATTGTTAGAATGAAGTTTTACAAGTACAAAGATAATAATTGATTAAATTAAGTCATTCAAAACAAGACGTTGTTTGTTAATAAGTGTAACTTTAAAACAAGAAAGAAATATCAAACAGCAAGAAACAAAAAAATAATTTAATAAAAAGAATTAGAAAGTCATATTAGTTTTACATTACAACACAGTAGTATCAATTTTCTTCAACCAATTCAATTTCATTTATTTGGCTGTTAGAAGAGGTACTATTAAAAGAAATATCTTTTGAGATTAAAGGGAGGCGATGATTAATTAATTGTTTTAATTCATTACTTCCTTCAAAGAAGAAATTTCTCTTCTTACCATAATTAGTTTCAAGAGATGTTTGAATTTCTTGAACGACATGATACATATCAGGGAAGAAATATCTTTGAATAAATCTTTTGAGAATTAATGGAGCAACACTTATTATTATTGTAAAGATAGTAATTAAATAGAAATTAAATGATTGGAAAACATAAGTAAATCCATTCCAAGAAATGTCATAAGTAGAATAGCCAGGAATATAACAAGTTAATCCATAGATAATAAAGATAAAAATAATAGAAATAATATGACCAATAACTAATATCCAATTCCATGTTTTTGTTTCAATAATTAAAGTGACAATTATAGTAAATAAAGAATAAAATGTAATTGTTAATGAAGTGTAAATAATACCTCCATTTAATCCATCTTTACCAGTTATATCTGAAGGTGATATAAACCAAAAGAATACGAAAAAGAATATAAGAGATTGATAAATACCATAAAAGAACCAAAGAATAAAATTGATAACTTTTCCACGTAATGATTTATGAATTTCTTTATTAACTTCAGGGAATAATTGAATTGTTTGCCATTGTAAATCTCTATCAAAAATACCAATAAGAATTGGTTGAATTTGAGTAAATAAAATATTAAAGAAAGTCATAATATAATCATCAAAAACGACTTGACAAGTAAAATTACTTATAAAAGAATACCATAATAATATTAAAAAGAATGATGCATTTTTATAAAAACATATTTTAATAATTTCAGAATTTCTTAATAAAGAAGTTCTTCCATGATATAAAATTAATTTTGCTAAATGTCTAAATTTTCTTATTGCAAAATCAGATGCTCTTGCAGCTTGATTTCCTTCTTTTCCATAAATTCCAACACCAACATTTCCAGTATTAATCATTGGAACATCATTTGCACCATCTCCAATAGTTAAAACAATTTTATTTGTAATTTTTTTAACACAATTAGTTATTTCAGCTTTTTGTTTTGGAGTTACACGACAACAAATAACACTTGAAGAAAGTAATACAATATCTTTAAAAATATTTTTTAATTCATGAACACACCAATCTGTATTTTTTCCATTAATAATTAAACTAAAATTATGTTGTTGTTGATTAATTTTTAATTTAATTTCATTTAAAGTAGTTTTACATTGATTAAGTGTATCATCATTAATACAATAATATGTATTATTTATTAATTTACATGACTTTCCTATATTTATTGCTGTTTCCATTTTATCTCCTGTAATCATCCATACTTTAATTCCTCCTCTTAATAACATTTCAATCGTTTCTGGAACTCCTTCTTGTAATTTATCTTCAATTGCACTGATTCCTATAATTTGTAAATCTTTTTCCATTTCATTTTGTAATAATTCTACTTCTTCTTCTCTTCCTTCAAGTAAATTTATTGCATCATCATATTTTTCATACCATTTACTAAAGATATCTTCATTAATTGTTTTTATTGCAAGAACTAATGTCCTTAATCCAACAGAACTAAATTCATTAAGATACTTCATACATTCTTTTCCTTCTTCATTACATCTTTCATTCATTACATTATCTGCTCCTTTACACCAAAGTGTTATTATACCATTTTCATCTCTTGTTAAAACACTCATTCTTTTTCTATCTGAATTAAACTCAAAAGTACTTAGAATATTATACTTTTTATTTATTCCAAATTCTAATAATTCAATACTTTTTTGATTTCTTGAAATTAATTCAATTCCACAATTTTTTGCTGCCAAACATAATGCTTCTTCATCAGGACTTTGAGATGAAAATTTTTCATCATTTATATTTACAGTATTACATAATGCCATACATTTTAAGAAATTTATTATATCGTTTTTATTACTTTCTTCTTGATTTTCTTGTTCATTAGAATTAATAATAAAAGAACATGAATGATTTATTTCTTTAGAATTATTATTATTAAAATTATTTGTATTTTCATTTATTTCTTTATTCTTCTTAATTTTATTATTTGATATATTTAAAATTTCTTGTAATTTTGAAATATCATAAACCCTTTCTTTTATTGCACACTTTTTGAATTTCATTTCATTTTCTGTTAATGTACCTGTCTTATCTGAAAGAACAAATTTTACCATTCCAAGTTCATCATTAAGACCAGTAGATTTAGCATTCATTCCAACAATTTCTTCTTTTCCATTACTATTTATTTGTTTAATTTTCATATCATCATCTTGTTCAAAGAAAATACCTTGTGCAAATTTAGCTAATTCTAAAGAAACTTGACACGAAATAGGAATTATATAAGAAATTAACGTAAAATATCCAAAAAATTTCTTTAATCCATAAAATTTGTTATTAATATCATCTTTAGGTAAATACCAAAACCCTTCATTTGGATCATTTATTATTGAATGACTATGTCCTGATAAAATAGCAAGAATTAAACATATAACACATTGAATAATAATCATAACAAATACAAAAATATTAAATTTTGTATCAATATTTGACTTTTTTAATTTTGGTGGAGTTTGATTAAGACTTAACTTAGTATGAATTCCACAATAACAAATAAGAACATAAACAAAATTAGTATTTCTTATTATTGTTCCTTGCATTAATAAATTTTTTTCATTTATTGAAATTTTATCATTTCCTATTGTTATTGACCCTCTAAATTGATCAAATTTTGGTTGTGGATATTCACATAATAAAGTTCCTTTCAATTCATTAATATCATTAATTGTTTTACCAATAAAATAATTAGGAACTAAGACTTGTTTAAGATTAGTTTCACCATCTAATGCAGCAGTTTCAATAAATGTAATTCCATCTTGATTACTTGATAATAAAGGAATACAATCTGCTGGAACAATATCAGATTGTTTTAATTTAATTATCATTCCTG